ATTCCGATGTCCGTACAACTATTCCTGTTTGTTTCCTGAGAGAATGAGAGAAAATCCCATCCAAGTTTCACGTTGTCTTCTCTTTCTGTTTTTTAGATATTCTGCCGTTTTTGCTTTTTTTCTGAACAAATTTAACAGCTTTGAGGGAAATGGTTCTGAACAGACTCTAAGGAAACAAGTTTTGATTTTTTTTCCTTTTTTCCTCCAGTTGGCTACTCACAAAGTGTCGACTTTGTGCAAAATCCGAGCGCCGTTCGCGAGGCCATCTATCTGCGTGAGATGGAGAAGCAGCGGATAAGAGAAGAGATAATCGCGGAGGAACTGGCCCGCCGGAGAGTTCTAGAGGCCGAGGTTAAGAGAGAGCTGATGGTGGAAAGAGAAATAGCGATGCGAAGAGCCCGAGAGATGGGAATACCGAACGATGAAAGATTCTCAATGCAGTCAGGCTCCAGGCAATTCATGCGCCACTTTGAGGAGCAGCAGCGTGCATTTACAAGCCGGTTCCACAGCGATCCTCTGTTGCAGCCACCAGAGGTGCCTCAGCGGTTGCCAGAGCATCCCTGTACTGAGGTCAAGGCTTCTTCAGAGTCTAACAAGGACAAATTTATAGTGCTGGTGAGTGTTCATGCTTCATTTTCAACTTTGTTTAGTTTTTCCTTTCGCATTATTGATCTTCCTGGTGATCGTTTTGTGTTTTTCTATTGATATCTTATTTTGCAAGTTCTGTAAGTCCTGTACATGGAGCCATAGGTCTGAAAGTTCAAATCTTGCGCACATTTTCACTTGAAATTTTCTGTTATGCTGATCCTTGCTTGGCATGCGTAGCTTTTCCCTTAAATCATGCTGTTTCTGCACATATTCATTGCCTTACTTCTCTACTAATTGACTGACAAATGAAAGGTAGTCTTAAAGGGGTATCATTGTTGTTGATTAATGGATTGATTTTCCTGGATTCCTGTTGCATATGTTGTTTGACGCGATATTATGTTACAGTGCTTTGGTGGAGAAAGTTTCACATCAATATTTTCGGTGCCCCTTTAAGTATTAGTTGCCATCTGCAGTTCAACTTGGAGTAGGAAGATGTTATGCATAGTTATATATACATGCTTCTCGTAATCATTTGTGGGCTTATGGCTGCATCTGCACATTATTGTTTTGAGAGGATCACTATATGCATCTATGACAATTATAGTCTTCCTTCAAGATGGCTTTTGTGTATAAACATTCATACTTGTTTCAGTTTAACATATACTGTAGGATGTAAAGTGAAAAACTTATGGAATTTAAAATTCTCTCGTTTCCCTTACTAATCACTTCAATTTGCGAGTGATGAAAATGTTTCCATAGGAAAACATTATATATAACGACTCTGTGCAAATGCAAACAGAGTTATGTTCATATGAAATGATCCTGAATCTAGAATTTTTGAAAGGGTGGGGCTACATACGCGTCATAATGGGTGAGAACATGCTCCCCAACCTTATATGGCATGGATTGAGGACCTTCCTTTTTGAAATTCAAAGAAGGACTAGAGGAAATGTTTAGGCCTTTTCCTTATCTCTTCTCTTCCACTTTTCTTAAACTTAAAAGTCTGTGTTATGATTGTTATTTTGTCGTCCTTAGAGATTTTTATTTATATAAAAGTGACTTTTCAAACCTTTTAATTAGTACATATGACCTTGTGTTCCCCCTTCGATCTGGCATATTGCTATTTGATCAGCATTTCACCATTAATTTTGCAGTTGGGATCACTTGACTTTTTGGTTATATATTCTGTTTTGAGTGTCCTGTTGCAGGCTAGGCCTGATTCAAATATTTCTGAAAAAAAGCGGAAAACGTCGCCAGAATCAGGTGTGCAGGCACTGCCTTCAACCAGCTCAAAGAAACCCAAGGAGGAGTGGAGTTGTGCCGTCTGTCAGGTCAGCGCCACTAGTGAGAAAGGTTTAAACGAGCACCTTCGAGGTAGGAAGCACAAGGCCAAGGAAGGACTAAGAGCTCAGAGGATGACACCAACCAGCACGTCCAGCACCATTTCTGTAATCGCTGAGATAAATCGAAAGGCAAAAGATGAGAATATGGTGGCCAATGAAGCAAATGAGAACACAGAGGAAGGCGTTGCTGATGCAGATGGTTCTTGTCCATCTCCTTTAACGGTACCGTATCCAGCAAAGGAAGACGTTACCGTCTAGAATTAATTAACAATAGAACTAACATCTACGGGCTGCAGAAGTTTTTTGTTTTTTGATTTTGGCCATGGCTGCAGAAGGTATTGGGTATCATTCCAAACCAAAAACTACAATCTCATAGAAGTAAACCTTTTCTGTAACCCCCATATTATGTCATGCTTCTATTTTATTTTAAGACCATATATGTTAGATGAAATTTGAAACATGTACAGGCATGAGGGTTGGTTGATTCAGATCAGCTGACATTTGACAAACTGGCAAATTAGATAAAATGATCAAATCAAGTCAATTTAGTTGCTTTTGAAATGATGAACTGTTGTCTAACAGAGTTATAGCCTATGCTTCGAGAGCAGGATGCTTGATGAAAACACAACCCAACAAGTTGAAAGGTATCATGGTTGCTTGTTCAAAATTTGCCAAGGATTGGCGCTTTCAGGCCATATGCTTGAAAGTTGAAACCTAATCTGGGATCTCCGAATGAATTCAGATTAAGGTTTCTTGTTTACTCCTACCAAAGCATTTTATTAAACAGTAAAGAGAATCTAATTGTGAGACTGATCTGATTCCTTCGCAACAATTCTTGATATTTCATCTATATAAATTTCATATAAGCAATTATTTTTCTTTTTTACAATAGAAGAAACCAAGTTGAAATTGGAATGCAAGGCCAGGCAAGGCAAGCTTGCCAACGTTGCCAAACTAAGAACTTCCACTACAATTGAAAAAACTCAAACCCTCAAAGCCACCTGATCTTGCCAAGTGATCTTCCTCTTCCCGACTCGATTTGGCACATTTCCAGTACTCCTACAGACTGACAGTTTCATATCATTGTGCTGCTCATCGCTTCCACTTCTAATGGAACTCTTCTTGAGCTCCTCTACTCTTAATGGATCGTCATTTGCCTGTAATTCTTCCTCCTCCATCTGCAATTAACTATGTGTAACATCAGCTCATGAATCATAATAAAACATCAAAACATCAAGTTAACAGATTCAGTACCGAAATCTGGTTTAAGTCAAAAACTGGTGTCATGGTTTGTGCGATGGCTTCCTTGGCTTCCTTCCCACTGTAAACTCTTTCCTTCTTGTTTAAATCAAGAACAGGCACAGTACTTTGCAAAGGAACTTCCTTTACGCTGTTAGTCTTCTGTTGCATCTGGTTCAAGTCAAATAATGGAGGTGGGTATTGGAGAGTGGCCTCTTTTTCATGGTAAGTCTTTCCCTTTTGGTTCGAATCCAATATCGGAACCATGCGCTTTGTGGCAGGTTGCTTTCTGCCATTACTTTTTCCCTTCACAATTGATTTACTTCTGATCCCTAAATTCTTTTGTTGCACAAGATTTCTCTCCATCAAGGGGTTTGAAGACTTGTTTTCCATCAAGAAATGGTATCTCCGTTTCAGAAACCTACAAACAATAAACATAACAAAAACCTCAACTTCTAGTTGATGCTAAATCTTTGCAAGTCCTGCAAATCCATTTAAGGAAAAAAATTTTAAAAAAATGGAATACCTGACTTCAGCTAATAGTGTCAATTTTCTCTCTTTCATCATATGCAACTTCTTTCTTGAGGTCTCAGTTTCCTATAAAATGCAAAACAAAGATGAGAGGATGGACAGGCCACGATGAATCTTTATTACATTAGACTACATAATCAAGCCGATTGCTATTGCTTTTTAACAGACAAATCAAAACATAAAAATCAACAATTGTTCAGTCAGGAAGCATAGAATACAAGCTCTTATTCTCTTTTTCTCCCCATTTCTTTTGCTGTTGGGGGTCTTAGGAACCCTTTTACAAGGAGAAAACTACCCAGAACAAGCATTTAAGGGACAAAGAGAAATAGATCAGGATTTTTTTTTTTTTTTTATCAAATCATAGGGATTAGTAGAAAGACAAAGGAAGGTATTACCTATAGCTACAATAACTAGTGATCAATTAAATCATGAAAAGCTACTAACAAAAGACTACCAAAGGTTTCATTTATCACGTTTGGCACCGAGGTGAAGAACATGCCTTAACTCTGTTGTGTATTTTACCGTTTGATGGACAAGAAAACTTGCGTTCATTTTACAGAGAAAAGGGGGAAAATTAGAAAACAAAAGCCAAAATTTCATTTCCCATGCCTTCAGCTTATAATAAACTAAATAAAACGCATGCAATTGAAGAGAAAAAAAAATAGAGAATACAAAGAAAAGAAATTTATAATTTCCCACACAAATACAAGATCTCCAATTTGAGACCAAAACATAAGATCCAGGTCATAGGTATCCGCTCCTTAATCCAAATAAACAATTAATCAAAAGAACTGAGATCAAAACCCAGAGGACCACAACCAAAACATATCGTGGAAAATCAACAAGATCGAACAAATCAGTCACAAACAGTTACAGGTCAATGAAACTCATAAAAGATCTTACCTTCTGTAACTCTGCAAAGTCTTGCAAAAGACTCTGGTGCTTAAATCTATTCCTTTGCTCCTCATACATAACATATGGAGAAAACTCCATGGGAACAGCAACAGAAGCAACCCCTTTCACCTTCATCATCTTCAAATCACAGAGAAAAGCAATAACACAAGAACCCAATCAAGGGGAAACAAAGGGGAGACAGAAGAGAGGAAAAGTATTCGATGACGATGAAGAAAGAGATATGTGGAAGAAATAGTAAAAGGAAAGAATAAGTGTAGAGAGAGAAGGAGAGAAATGAACACGAAAGAGAGAGGACAGGAAGGTTCTCGCTTTCCTGTTTTCTCTGTGAAAAACTCTGACCAAGACAAAGGAAAAACCCAAAGAAGCCCACATAGCTGGGTGAAAAAATATGTTTCTTTTGAGAGTTGAGACAGTGATGAAGATGGGATTTTTTTGGGGGTTGCAGAAGGGTATTTCTGGCATCATATTTTTAGAGGTTTCTGTGAGGTGGGTTTGGTTGGAGGACATTTGAAGACACCAATCTTCTTTTTCTTTCATTTCTTTTTGTTTTTCTTCTACATAAATTTTGGTCCAGCTGGGCCATTGAAGAAAGAGAGAGGAATTGGGTGGTGTGTGGACTCTTTGTTTTTTGAAGAGGGATATGTGGAATTGTGGAGTTTCTATGTATCTTCTTTCTTTGTATATACGGTGTGTCTTTGCCTGTGTTAGACAGAGAAAGGAAAAGGAGTCATCTCTAGAGAGAGAAATGAAATGATGTGAGAAGGGTTGGCTGAAAAAGGCAGAAGGATAAAATGGTATGATGCTATTGTTGCTGCCTTGCTGGTGATGGTGCTGGTGTCTGCAGTTGTTGGTGGTACCTTTTCCTAGGCTTTGAATTGTGGTGAGAGAGTTTTCAATGACAATTGACAAAGAGATACCTTTTTCCTTACCCCATTATTATACTCCATCTCTATTAAAATCTAATTCCCTAACTTACCCCATACTTTCCTTTGTCCCGAAGGATAACTTTACCCCATTTTCCATTTCTCCTTGGAAGAATTAAGCTTCACCATGATTTTCTGAAATCAATTTTTTAAACCCCAAAAGAAGGAATTGGAAAGATTCCCCTTTTTTTTGTGCAAATAGGAAAAACTCTCGATTTGGCTTCAAGCCAAACCCATCTTTCCCTGCCAACGTAAGTTTATATGTATGATTATACAAATCAAAGGTTAGGACTCTGATAAGAGTCTGAGTGGTCTCCCTGAAATTTAATTTCTTGTAGGGTAAATTGTTACCTAATGGCTAATTCCCATCTCCATCAACTCACCTAACATCTCGAATCCGGACACCACCCTAGCTACCAGCCCTAGAGTCTAGGACAATTTTAACTGAAAGTTTCACTTCATCACCTTTATTAATGCTTGAAAATTGAAATCCCTACCCTAGCTACCGTATCGTTGCCAAATATCTACCTCCTCTTTCCTTAAATGCAAAATAGATGGCATGGTTGACAATGGTGAGCAAAACTTCTAGATCCCAATTCAATAAAAACAATATAATTAATAATTGCTATTAAATCCTTTCTTTCATATATTCATAAAAAATGAAAACGAAAACAAAATCCCTAGTTTCATACAAGAGGAAGGAAAAAAGGAGGGGCCATTGGTCCATACATGGCGGTGTTAGTGGTGTGCACTGTAAATACCCAGCAGCGTCACCATGGTTGGAAACTAAAGAAAGGAACCCTTTTTACTCTTTTAAAGGTGTGAAAAGGAGAGGGCAAAAAGGCTGTTGGGTCTATATCTTGGAGTTTGGTTCCCTTCTGCATCACTTTTGTCGGTGCACAGGTCCTTCATGGTTCAGAAAAAAATTGATTGAAGGATGCAAACACATGGACATGTATGGAGTAAGAGAGGAAGTTTAGCTGTATATTGTCTTTTTATTAGGTTTGATGATTGGATAGAAGGGGAGCTTAGGCTCACTGTTTTCTTGCCTCTTTTCTGTTCTTCCCACCAGCTTTCCATTAATTTAAAAGGACCTATTGCACAAGTGTGGACTGTTGTGTGACATGGACATGGGAACGTGATATGAATTTTCCCAGAAAAAAAATTATGTTTTCCGGGAAAATATTTTCTCAGATTGATCAATAGATTCAACCCCTCACCCATTAAGCTATATACGCTCAAGGGCAATGCAAACTCTCCTTTTAAGAATGGAAAAGCAGATCATGTGTGTAAATGTAACGAGAACTAGGCCTCAAAGTCCATGAAACTTTTTTCTTACCAAAAAATAAAAAAAGAAGAAAGAAAACCGCTTTGGCACATGGGTAGAACATGAACTGTTTTTATTTGATAGCTTAAATTATATAATATAATACAATTTTTTGTTTGATAATATTTTAAATTTTTTAAAATATATAAAATATTTA